TGATCCCTTGTTTGTAAGGAGTGCTCTAACTGGATAACAGGAAGCCCAGTGTTGTCTGTACTTTTGTGCCTCAGAGGAGTGTTAGGAAAGGAGTCACATTCCTTTCAGTTTGTTGGGTTGGCTTGTGAGAGTCCTGCAGCTGTGCAAAGCAAATGAGAAACATTTTGTTACCAGATTCCTTGAAGAAAAAGGTGGTGCCCTAAACTGCGCAGATGGCAGTACCTCTAGCAGGGGCTAGGATGCTTTAGTGAGCAGAGAAATGGACTCCTTTTTGCTAGACCTCATCTCCCATTGTTGCAGCCTGGTGCTCTGAGAAAAGTCATTCTCCACCAGTAGCCCTGCAGCTCTTCTGCAGAGCGGTATGCGTAGCACCCTCCCAACAAGAAGTGGGGCAGCTCCTGTCCTCTCGCTGCATTTGTCCTCCTGCACACACTAAAGGATGTGTCTTAACAGCTGGCTCCTGGGAACAGCAAATGTAACCTGTTTGGGTTAGAAAGAAAAGCTCTCTAAGGCCAAGAGCTGTTTCAGCTTGATCCAAAGCACCTCATACTTCTGAAGCTGGGTTGATTGTAGTCATCAGATTTTCTCTCTCCCTGAAGCGAGTGGGGCCAGCGACTTGCAGAGAAGGCAGATGAATTCTATGAGGACATGGCAGGCACCTCCATGTGATGAAGACTGGGATACAGGTGAGGAAAGCTTCCAGTGTTGTCCTCCAACTTGACTTGGAACAGTGTCTTGGCTTAAGTCTCCCTTGTAGCAAGACGTGATTATGGTCATTCCTGAAACCAAGCATTTCCCTGCCTGGAAACCTATTCCCAAGAGAGCTATTCTACCTGCCCACCACAGCTGGCATGGTGATGCCTCCAAAGGGCTATTCCTTCCCATAGAGGCTTTTGTTTCCTCGGTTCCATGATAAAAATGAACAGATCGTCACTTTTACCTTGCTTGATTAATTGACAGAAGCCAGATGCATCTGTCCTGCTTTGGATCCATCTTTACTTCCTCCTGAGCGTGTAGAAATAGGACAAAGACACTGCTCATCTGCTGGGAGGGTTCTTGGTTCTGAGCCGCAACTTGTGTTTCCTTTTGCAGAGTCCCTGGAGCACTTGACTTCTCCGTTTGTTCAAGGCATGGCAGACTATGGCATAAACGGGTAAGGGGGGCAGTTGGGTTTCTTACAACCTTGTTTTGTAAAGATGAATATTGCAAAGATGAATACTTCCAAGCCAGACTCAGTTGTTGGCCATGGGCTGCTGTAACTGAATCCTGGGAGGAGGGAAACTTTGATTAACAAAGTGAATGTTCCTGTGCTACTGGGTCAGCGTTACAGGTTTTGAGCAAGTGGATTTGCCAGGAGAGCTGACCGATGTCTTTCCATTCCAGTACCACTTTGGAACATAAGAATTCCCTGCCTCCAGGTTTACGTGTCCCTAAGTCATCTCCCTATGCGCTGGCCATGAGGACGGTAAGTAATGTGCGTCTCTGATTCTGTGACGCTGTGACTTCTATAGACTATAATGGTTCCCCGAATCTCCTGCTGCAGCAATGCCTTATGGCCACTGCTGTGTAGGCTGGAGAGGCACTAGGTAATCCAGGTCTTGAGAGCAGCTTTCTAGATATCTGGTCCATGGATCATCTTCTCTATCCTTTCTTTAAGATGTCTTCTGTGTGCTTTCTCTTGTTTCATAGTTTCATAGTCTTGGCAGAGACTGAATATAGAAGAGCCAACTTAAGGAGCCCTACTCTGCTACCCCTTTGATTCTGTTATCAGCTGCCTCCAAATTATCTGTAAAACTAGCACTGCCAAAGATAGCTCTTCAGGAAATAAGAGGGGGGAAATGTATATTTCAAACTGCATGAGGATGTGGCAGGCAGAGCTTCTCTTTTCAGAGTGCCTGACACTGAAATTACTGACCATTTTTCACCCTTATTAGCAAAACAAAGGTTTCAAAAGGGTGTTTGAAAAATGAGTGACTGTTTCTAGCTTAGGGCAGCTCATGATTACCGATGATTGTGCAGTTTTTATACTGTCAAGCTGAGTTTGCCAAACAAAACTGAAACTTGCTTGTAGGTAAGTCTTTCTCCTGAGGTGATGGGTGCTATTCCAGCAAAGGCTCTTCTGAGTTGGGGAGTGGAGGAAGGGTTTTTTTGTATTTTCCTTCCTTTCACAAGCTAAACTTGTCATAGTTTGGAGAGTTAGTCTCTTCCCCCGACCCCCCTATTTAGGAAAATCAGTTCACTCCCTGCACCACATGGGTCTTTTCTGTCTTTCTGGGAACACGCAGCTGATGATGATGATGATGGAGATTCTCTGGAGCTGACTGCAAGTCTCCGTATGCTAGAGACCTGACCACGCATGACCCTGTTTTACAACATGTGTAATACTATCTAGTGTAATACCAACCAAGTGGGTTCCATGAGCTCGCCTGCCTTTGGTGATCTTTGTTAATAGTCACTGCTCCTCAGTCAGTCGGCTTTGCAGCAGTTACAGTGCACCAGCTCAGAAATCTTCCCCTCCTTAGGCAGCAGAAAAAACACAAGGGACCAGCAAACATCCGCAGCTTCCCTTGGCAAATGGCAGCACTGATGACCTGGCTACACAACTGGTAAAGTTGTGTTTGTTCCTGTTGCTTGGCAGGAGTCACAGAGCTCCTTTGAAGCAGCCATTACCTTACGTATTGGGGAGGATGGTTTGAAGTAGAGGATTGTCTGATCAAGTTCTTGTTCCAAGCTTAGAGCTCTGCTTCTCAGTCTCTTAGCAGCACCTACTTGTGAGCAGATTCATTAGTTGAAACGGTGGCAGTTGTGATGAGGACCTCTGTGCACTTAATGATCTTCAGACAAGCGAGAGCAGGAAACACCACAGAAATGTTGGCCTTCAGCCTGATGCTTTAAAACAAATGAGTGTATTTGCCAAAGAGTTTCTTTCAGAGTTGTATCCTTTGCTTGATGATGTCTTGTCCTTACTGTATATGAGGAGAAAGGATATGATTGCAGCTAGGCTGGGGGACACTCTGCGTAAATTGTAACTTTGTGTGAATTCAGGCCCTGGTGGAGCAGGAACGTGGCTAGCCCCATTTCCGGGGAGGTTGGGAACTGCACAACACAGTAATTTCCTGGAATTGCTACCCTGCGCCATAACTACGTGCCCTGTGCAAAGAGACAGTATGTATTACTGTTTTCAGGATTACATGGTGTGTGGAGTGATTTCTCTGGGCCTTTACCAGGAGAAAAAAAAAAGTAGGCAAAAGGGAATAAAAAAGTAGTTGAATGGTAGAGAGACGCAGAGAAATTTCTTTGTGCTGTGATCATGGGATCTGCAGCTAATGAAGTCCTATTTGAGGACCTAATACAGCCTGAAAAGCATAAAATCAATTTTGAGTGTTTCTCCAACCTCTAAGTAGGCTGAGATATCCTACTGTGTCCCTGCGCAAGGTAGACCGTAAATAGTTACCTCTCTGGAGCAGTCAAACAGGAGTGTATTTTTCTATCCATATGTTTTCTACTTTTTATCTTTTCAGCATCCAAGATGGTCTACTTAGGGTATGTAAAATGAACAGTATGAGTTCTAAATTGCACTGCCATTTACAGACACTTCCTTTTCTTTCTAGGAAGCCCCATGATCCCTCCATGGCAGCCGGGAGCCTCCGCTTTATGGCATGTGGGTGTGCGGCACTTCACATCATAAGGAATTCACACAGCATTCATTATTTTACATGCATATATGTATGTTATGGATAATAGCAAAGAGCTGGAATTTAAACAGTACTCTTAACTGCTTGTCCAGTCTCTGTTAGGGTTTTGTAGTTCTTTAAAAGAATAATTTTCCAACCTTTAACACATTTGAGAGTTCAAATAGAACTGTTCTTTCCTGTAGCAGGGGAAGCTGGTTTAAATTACCATTAAAATGTTTATAATAAAAGGGATGCAAAGTGTTTACGTAAACACACCCACAAGAAAGGGATGTAAAGTAAAGACTTCATAAACACAAAGAATTAAGAAATGTCATATCAGGCATTTGTGTAGAAAGAAATTGCTGCCAAAGGTGTTTTGGAAAAATGTTGCTCACAATACCGACCTTTCCTATTTGTAGTGCTGCCGCTGCACAATAGTCCTTGTTGACAAGCATGTGCAGTTGTCGTCGTCTCGAAGTCTTGTTCAAAATGACAATTTAGAATAAAGCGATTGCTGTGAATGCCCTTGCCTCCATTTTTATGTTCTCTGCAGACTGGCTTTCCTCCTCTTTGTCTTGTTTCATTGACTTAAGGCATCCTTTACCCTCAGAACGTTTCCACTTTGCCAAGGGCTGCCTCACTGATGCCCCATCACCCCGTGATGGGGTAAAGGAGCTCCCTTAACTGCCAGCAGGTGGAAGAGGAGCCCGAGGGGCCACCCATTGGGTCTCCTCGTGTTTGCACTGCGAAGGGCTGAGCTTGGGCTGCTCTCCCCCTCTAGCCCTGCCTGGCTCGCAGGGGCAGCCAGCGGGTGAGCGGGGACTGTGCACTCCAAGAGGTTCCCTGGTCACCAAAATGAGGGCAGAGGGACCACGGGAGGGGAGTTTGTCCCATGGGATCCATGCAGCCAACACAAGTCAGAGCTCTGAAGCCTCATGTATTGTTAGGTACCCTTCTCAAAGGGGGGATGTCCTGCATGTGCCATTGCTGGTGCTGTAGTGTAAGGAGTTGGGAAAGCAAGAATATAAAAACCATGACTGTTGTCCAGCCTTACCATTATTTAAATCCCAGTGTCATGTACTGTTAAGATATCGAGGTAAAGCTCTCCTGATCACGCTGTGCCCTTTACCACAGGGCAAGGGACACTTGAGTGAAGAAGGGGGCGGAGTGCCCCCTCCTCCAGCGGCGCAGAATGAAGAACCTCCCCACACTCGGAGCCCCTTGGGTCGAACCTTCAGCTCCTCTCGAGGCTGTGCAGGCCTGGAGCCCTTCCGCAGGCCCAGGAGGAGCTGCTGGGCTGTGCTGCTGGGGTGGTGTTCCCCTCCACTAGGCCAGGAGCGTTTCTGTCTGGGCGCCTCTCTCCCCTGGGAGTGCTTTCATGGGGCGAGCGCTGCTCGCTCTGAGCACCCTTCCAGCTCCTCCCTGCCTGCTGGGCCCTTTCTGCCTTTAATGAGCCACCCACTGCAGGGGGCCAGGACTGGTCTGACAAGAATTCGTATGGAGATGTGGGAAATGAATGGTTTGAGTTGCAGTCTTGGCCTGTGATTAAAGAGGGAGGAGAGGAGGCCGCGTCTACCTTTACGCATTGATTCCTTCATGGTGTGGAGCCTTGACACGCTGCAGCTGCCTCTCGTTTCTTCTGCTGCCTGCAGCCACATGTGGTGTCTGCTGGGTCTCCCTGCCAAGTCCCACCTGGTCACGGCTGTACAAGCTGCTCCACCACGTGGTCAGGTGGAGTCATGTTCTCAGTATAGTTCTCCCATCCACAGCCACTCTGTCCTTGCCACCGCAGTGTGGTTCTGTACTGCCCTGGTGAAGGGCAAAGTCGTGTGGGACCCCCCTGCCCTGTGCTGCCACCCCCCATCCCAATCAAGCTCATGAGAGATGCAGGTGCTGTGGGGTGGGAGAGGTCCATGAGCCCACATGGAGGCCAGGCACATGGTCCAGGTTAAGCTCTGTGCTCCCTAGTGGCTGTCTGGGACCAACACCCACAGGCTGGTCCCAGGGAACCCAGGGCTTCTGCACTTGGCCACCAGCTACACTTGGCCCAAGGACACCATGAGAATGACCTTCTACCACTGCCCCCAGGCTCAGCCCTCGCCACTGCTCTCACCTGCAGGCTGCAGAACATCATTCCTTCTCTTCCCTCCTCCAGATCCTGGGGAAAGGGATCCAGCCCCTTCCTGCCCCCATCTCCTGGCTAAAGCCAGACCTAGGTCCAGCTTCACTGATTTTTCACTGTACTGGGGGAAGAAGCGGCCTTCCTTCCTTCCTTCCTTCCTTCCTTCCTTCCTTCCTTCCTTCCTTCCTTCCTTCCTTCCTCCCTTCCTCCCTTCCTCCCTTCCTCCCTTCCTTCCCTTCCTTCCCTTCCTTCCCTTCCTTCCCTTCCTTCCCTTCCTTCCCTCCCTCCCTTCCATCTTCTCTGAACCAAGCACAAGATCCTTGGGGTGTTTTGCCTTTGGAATTCAGTGTCACAGCAACTTTGGAACTCAGATCACAGGGCTGGGGTAGCAGGACTGCCTGGTGATGGAGAGGTGTCCAGGGACCCTCTCCAGAAAGGACAGACCTCAAGTTCTGGGTATTTTCTTCTCGCTCTGGCAGCACTTTGACCCTCTCTAGGGTTACACTGATCAGGAAGGGTAAGAGGTTTCCTTTAGGTGCCTAGGGACCCCATTCCTGAGGGGGAGGGTTGGAGGGGGAGGCAGCGAGGGTTGGGGGCAGTCTGGGCTGCAGTGACCACAAGATGTTGGAATTCACGATCCTGGGTGGAGGAAGTGGGGCGAGAAGTAGGATAGCTACCCTGGACTTCAAGAGAGCCAACTTTGACCTCTTCAGAGAGCTCCTTGGAGCAGTCTCCTGGGTCAGGGTCCTAGAAGGAAAGGGAGTCCAGGAGAGCTGGCTGATATTCAAGCGCCACTTCCTCCAAGCTCAGGATAGGTGTATTCCCACAAAAAAGAAGTCGAGTAAGCGGGGCAGGAGACCTGTATGGATGGGTAAGGAATTGCTGGGCAAAGTGAGTGAGAAAAAAAGGGTGTACAGCTTGTGGAAGAAGGGACAGGCCACATGGGAGGAATACAGGCACATTGTCAGAGATTGCAGATGCGAAACGAGGAAGGCCAAAGCCCGGGTGGAATTAGAGTTGGCGAGGCAAGTCAGAGACAACAGGAAGGGTTTCTATAAGTATGTCAGCAGCAAGAGGAAGACGAGGGAAAATGTTAGTGCACTGCTGAATGGGGAAGGGGCCTTGGTGACGGAGGATGCCGAGAAGGCAGAGTTACTAAATG